TGCGAAAATGATCAATTGTGTTTTAAGGATCTGCTCGAAATGCTTGAGTTAAACTATAGTACTAGAAACAAGAGAAAACTACGAAATGGTAACAATAACAAATTATATTATAATATAGTAATATTTATCCAACTGTGATTTAAAGTTGCATTATTCAATTCGTTTACGTATTTTTACCATCACGAAGAGCTGTAGTAACATGTGAAATAGGAAACTATCTGAGTGCTAAAATCTGGACAAATTTTTAACTCTGTGTAATATATTTGTCTTTATTTCATGGTAATAAATTATATATAATTTGATACAAAATATACAAAAAAAAAAAAAAAAAAAAAAAAATGACTATTATAGCTTTGTGACAAATGCATTTTTTTTTTTTTTAAGTTTCTTTTACATTCGTAGGCTACGTAGTTGTCTGCTAATTCGCTTAAAAAATAGCTGTGAATCTTCAAAAAATTTTTAAAAATCCCACTGAAAAAAAAAAAAAAAAATCCATACATAAGCGAAATCACATAAGTTACACCTTGACTTTTCTTGAAAGGTTAAAGGTTAATTGTACTTGATTCTAGGGATGAAACATTAGAATTTTCGAAACTCATAAATCTTGCAAAAGCTCGAAGCTCAGAGGATTTTTTGCAAATGAAATATTCCAATCCTAAATGGTTAAGCGTTTAGCTTAAGATTTTAGAATACTAGTTTAACTGACAACTAACTATTAAAAAAATAAAAAACGAAATTGTTGCAAATTCAGAGGATTTAGATCTCCACTACAGTCTAGTGACAGACAAGAGTGTCACACTGCTAATTTTCTGAAGAGAATTCAGCTTTCCATATAAATATTTATCTGTGTCAAAAGTACCTATTTCTTCTTTTTCCAGTTTGATAAAATGCAACAAAACCTGTAAAGACATTAGGTATTTTTTGGAAGCAGGAGATGTGAAAAATGAGCAACGCTTTCGCCGAGAATCGAACTACGGATCTTTGCAATACGCGCTCAGCGTGCAGACCACTACACCATGAAGGCACGCTAAGAAGTCGGAAAAAATACCTTATATACTCCCCCCTTTTAAAGGGCGACTGGGGTTTAGGGGGCCCAATCACCAAATAATGGGTGTGGAGAATCATCATCCACCACCCTTTTAGTTCAGGCGCCACTGTAGAGACATTAGGTATTTTTGGAAGCAGGAGATGTGAAAAATGAGCAACGCCTTCGCCGGAAACCGAACCACGGACTTTTGGAATACGCGCCCAGCGTGCAGACTACTGCACCACGAGGGCAGACCATGGACCTTATAAGAAATAGACTAACCCAATTGCGTTTTCTCCCTTGTCTGGCGCGTTCCCGGCTGTCACCTTGATCACATCCGGAGGAGTAGGGACGACTTCCAGAAATTAGCAATGGTTGGCTATTGCAGCGCGTACAATTGTCACGAAAAAGCTGGTGGTAGTGCCTCATTTCACAAGTAAGAATTTTTAAATATTTTTATTTTTGACTCTGAGATTGCTTTTTAAATACTTAGCATGTTTTTCAAGCATAATTAACGTTCTAAATAATTATAAAGCTGTTGCATGCTTTCAGGCTTGTATATATTTTTAGCTTTTCCTATGATGTAAGCGAATTTGTAACTTCTTCTTTTAGAAAATAATATTTTAAATCTCAACTAACAGAAAAATTCAACCAAGTAATTTTCTCTTACAATTACTAAAACTATAACTATTGCTAAACTATAGCTAAAATACTAAAATGCCTAAAAATGAATTTTTGAAAGTTTTTCTTTAAAATTTAGAATTTTTTTCTGCTTTTTTAAATTATAGGTAAATTTTAATTCCTAGCATTATAACTAATCAAAAATAAGAATATTTAAGAACGAAAAGTATACATCTTATATAGCTGGTTTTGTTGTTAAAAGCTTAGCTTATAAAGTAAAATATAATATCTGTTTCTCAGCTTTAGTTTCAACAGAACCATATGTTGGTTTGCTAGGTTTCAAATATTATAAATCTGGATGTGTAGGTTTGAGTTCTCCTTCCAGTGACGTCCGAATGATCTGCAAAAATGCAGAAATAATTTTTAGGCAGACTGAAAAGAAGTTTAAATTGAATAAAAAAAATATTATAAATTTCATGACTCTAAAAGTCTTAAAAAGCGTAGAAACACATATATTTCCTTCTCTTCAAGACCATATTTATGATGATGAGCCAGATAAAAACCACCTGATTAAATTAATTAAAGCAGTGATACGAGTATTCAATATTTAAAAATCAGAATGCATCATGCAGTTGCATGTTACAATGAATCTAAACAGAGAGAAAATATTCGAAGCAGATTTACTAAATTAATTTTATTTAAGCATCAATAAACCATATTATCTGTTTCTCTTCCTCTCTCTCTCTAAATATATATATATAGGGGTGTGTATTTACATTAATAGATAAATAGATATAATCTTGTTTTCACAAATATTTGAAATAAAAAGTTAAGTAAGCGAATTTTTTAATGCAACAAATATCCTAAATTGTTTACTTTCATACATATGTATTTATGGATGTATGGTCATTCTGCTTAAAGTATTTACAGGTATATAAAACTACAAGGTTACTTTAGGCGCATTAATAAAAATTTGAGATTGGACATATAATATCTTGTATTTTATAGTAATTAATTTTTAAATTTATTTTTAGTTCCGCATAAGATTTTTTTATTTACTGCGAATTTTTTTAAAATTTTTCATTACGCTCAGAAAAGTTTATGCTCCGAATTTTATGAGTTATTAATATTGTCATAAATGATCATCTTTTAATACCATAATAATTTTAAAAACAGAAAAAATAAATAAAACAATCCTTGGTTTCTATAAACATTTGAAATGATAAATATTTGCTACTACTGCCTGAAAATGTTCATAAAATTAAAAAAAAAAAAAAAAAAAAAAAAAAAAAAAAAAATTACCAAATCATGTTTAATTTTACCTTATTTGTTTCATAGCATCATGTACTATCAATCTTACTTAATTTTACTTTATTTGTAGGCAAAAGTAAATTCATAAATTTTTTGTTTAGAGTTTTTACCGTTTTATCAAGGTAATGATGTTTAGACAAGAATTACGCTTATGCAGTAAAAAAAATACTCAAAATGCACTAAAAAGTGGTTTCATGAGATATATAAAATCTTATTAGTAAAAACTGTGATTTTTATTATCTCATCATTTATACAACGTGTCACATTTAATAATTAAAAAGAGTTATGTGATGCAAACGCCGTATGTTTCAATGTTACGATAAACTAAATCGTCTCTACTCTCTCTTCCCGACATGTGTGTGACGCACGCCCCGCCCACTGGGTTAGTCTATTTCTTATAAGGTCCATGGGGCAGGCACGCTAAGAAGTCGGGAAACATACCTCATACGTTATTCAAACTGTTTTGTTAAATCATACTGAGAAAATGAATTTTTAAATTTACGAGTTTTAATTTACTTCAGCTGCTGAACTCTACTTCCAGCTTTTTATCAATATTGTATTTTTAAAAATGCCTCCTAAACCAGATAGCGGTTAGCAATATTGACTGTAGAATGGAAGGGCCCGGATTAGAATTCCGGAGAAGACATGTATGTTTGTAAATGTATAGTGCCGTGAGGCATGGGAAGGTACTCTCAATATGCGGCGAGTTGAAAGTCCTCTCGAGAGCTTTTTGCTAGGGCAAGAGGGGTGCGAAACCTCCGGAGTTGTCCTCCCGGGGCGCTCTTCATTAAAATTGGGTACGGAACCGAACAAAGTCGTACTGTTAACTGTATGGTTACTGTCAGACAAGTGAGATAAGTAACAATAACAATAGTTAAAATTTAATAAAACAATAACAATAATTAAAATTTAATAAATAAAATAAAAATTATAATAAATATTAAATAAATTTTAAATTGTATTCATGAAATGTAGATTTGAAGCTTCGCTCAAATTAAAAATATTTAACATAACGTAAAGCGTTTTTTTATTATTGTTCAAAGATGCATTTCAAAAACTTAACATTCGAAAGATTAAAAAAAATCTTCCAAGAAAAAAATCGAAAACAAAATAATAGTCCGTCAGGCCAAATTGCAAAGGGGCAATTTACCCTGAAGGGCTATTAATTTCGTTCTGGCATTTTGTCTCGAAAATTTTAAAAGGCTGTATCACTTTTCATATTGTTGCCACCATATATTATCATCCTATCTTAAAGAAATTAAATAATGAAGAATCTGCATAAATGTATGTATGTTTCTCGCATTGTGATAAAACAACGGTACCTAGGGCCATCCATTTTTCAACAGAATACTCCACCGAATATGGGCCTCTGGAAGCCCTAATTTTGGAATTTGTTTTTTTATCGATTGCATATTTTGTAACACTTTTAATAATTTTTGATTAGCAAACTCAACGATTTAAAAACCAGCAATACAACACTGTACGGGGAAAAAAAAATTAATCTCGAGCACTCGAGACTGTGTATCGGAAATTCTAAAGATATGCTCATTTTAAAATTAATTTGCGATATTGCTGTTGAACTCAATTTTACAGTTTGATTACGCAGAACATGATATTTAATAAATAAAGGTAACACAAAAAATGTTTAAAATATGCCCTTTTGGATGTAATTTAAAATCTGAAAACTTTCAGATTTTTTTATTAGTTTTATTTCTTTCTGATTCCTTTCTTTCCAAAACTGATATATAATTGAGAACACAAAGGGCATTCTTCCCATTCGACGTATTTGAAATTGAGATTCCTAGCAAGAAGGACGTTTATGTGCCCTTCGAAAGTTATTCTAGAAGTCCATAACTTGTATAAGTCATGTACAACAACAACGTCTTAGGTTGTAGATCTCCTTGAGGATTTCCAAGCTTCCTTACGTCACAGACGAAACTTTCAGGTATTATATTCTCCTCATGTCATGCCGAGTATGATATGACATTGCAGGGTTGTTTCTGTTTGTTTTTAATTTATAGTTCGATTTTCTCTTCCTTTATCCAAGATTAAGGCCATCAGCTCCTCTTAAACTGCTTTTCAGTTGTTGTTTTCTGGCGTGCGTAGCCCTGAGGATAGCTGAGATAATGCTTAAGTCTGGAGAACGTCGAGGTCTAGAAACAAGGACGTTTCTATGTTGGTTTTGTTGTGAGAAACTGTACTTTGCAGAAACAAATGAGTAAGTTGATTAATTTTGCTTACTGCTGAAATAGGAATAGAGTAAAATATACTCAGAATTGGAAATTTAAGAAGTGTTTATGAAGCTAAAAAAAATTGAAAAAAAATTGAAAGTTTTCAGATTTTATTACTTTCAAACGGGACTTTTTACTTCCTTGTAAACGCGAAAAGTTTCAGGCAGCATATTTTAAAATATCCATTTTGACATCTATCGAATGCACTTTCACAATGTTTTTGCGTGACATCTGTACGTAAGGACAGAATAAAAGACTCTTTTCTTCCAAAAAATTATAAAATTGCTTTGTATGTATATACATACGTATGTACAGACATCACGAAACATTCTCTCTCTCTCTATATATATATCTCGCATAACTCAAAAACGAGTAGCCTCAGAACGTTGAAATTTTGTATATAGAACTGCTGTAACATGTAGATGTGCACCTCGTATTTTGGTTGCAATCGGCCGCACCAAACGTATATAAATATATTTATATATATGTTACGGTGAAAGACCGAAATCTGGAGAATGTCGACTTTCACCGGTGAATGTTAACATTCACATAGTCTCTTGGTGTATGTCCGAAATATTTTCCAAATACTCTTATTTCTCACTTACACCGGTCAATGTCGACATTCACCATGTACTAATGGTGAATGTTAAACATATAACAATATTATATTTTCTTCTCCGTCATTCAGTCGCGAATAAACTCACTTGAGACTTGAAATAAGAACCTAAGAACATGAGAACCTAAAACACACAATACATTCAAGAAAATAATAGAAGTTAAAAACTTACTTAGTTATACAGTACGTTCTAAACGAGAAAATAAAATAACAGTAATAACAAAATTATGTGATTCAAATCTTATTTATTGCAACAAAAACTATTATGGCACTTTTTTTACCTCTCTTTTCGACTTTGACCAGAGCATATCTGTAATTGTCGACATATACCGGTGAGAGTCCGAATATACAAGAATGTACTGAAATAATTCGGTCTTTCACCGACGTATTTGGTGAATGTTGATATTCTCCAGTGAAAGTTGACATTCTCCAATTTCGGTCTTTCACAGTAACGTATATATATATACATATATCCACTCTGTTACTCGGCTCAGTAATCTCAGTTTCTTTACTCTTATATGTTTGTAAATTGTGCAATTTTTGCTTTAAAAATCATTGAATCATGTTCTTATCTTCCGGTTAAAGTTTTTATGCCTTCAGGAGATCTGCAAGCAATATTTGTAGAGTTATCAACAATTTAAAAGCTGTTTAAGTGCGGTTAAGCCTAATTTTTAAATAACATGGCGGACGTATTTGTTTACATTTGAAACAGAAGAATAGTAGATTTGTTGCCAATTTAGAGAGACTAAACTTCGCAACAACAAAGATAACGCCTTCATTTATTATTGCGAATTAAATCATGCTTAAACCTATCTTGAATGTTTCGAGAAAATAAGTGTTTAAGATTTGCTTTAATTTTAATATATATATTTTGAGTTTTTATGTATTCTTGCCTTGTCGCGATATGAGAACTGAATTAATTGAATGAGAAATACTGAATCGTCTGTGGAAAACTGTTTCTTTTTTGTTTTGTTTGCTTAATTTCGTTTATACAGCGTTCTAGATTTATTATAGTATTTGAATAGAACATGTGGCAACAATTAGATAGTTCTTCAAATAATACGAAGGAAATATAACGCTGTTAAGTGAACCTAGCGCCTGAGTGTCGCTATGATAAACAAATATAGTGAATTTTAAAGAGTGCATTTATTCTATTGCATCTTATGCGCTATCGACGAAGTAGATTTAATTCAATAAGTTTAAATGAATGCAAGAAAAAATGCGTATAATTTAATAATTTGTACAAGGCAGTCATGTGGTGTACTGTGTACACATCAGATCTCTTACTTCCTAGTACGAAGTAAAGGAAATATTGTAATCACGAAAAATTCCGGGTACTATATCTCAACGAAAATATCCATTTTGACCACTTTAGAATGCAATTTAATGATGTTTTTGCGTAACATATATACGTAAGGACAGAATAAAGGACTCTTTTCCCCCAAACGAATTATAAAACTGATTTAAAATGGATTGAGAAAAGATTTTTTCGTGACGTCTGTACGTACATACGTATGTATCTCGCACAACTCAAAAACAAGTTGCCTCAGAATGTTGAAATTTTGTGTATAGGACTGCTATAACATGTAGTTGCACCTCACGTTTTGGTTTCGATCGGCCGTACCGAAAGTATATACTATATATATATATCATATAATATACTTTGTTACTCGGCTCAATGAGCTCAGTTTTTTTTATTCTTATGTGTTGGTAAATTGTGCATTTTTTGCTTTACAAATAATTGAACTTTGCTGTTCTTATTTTACGGTTAAGGTTTTAGGCCTTTAGTTAAACTGCATGCAATATTTGTAGAATTATCAACAATTTAAAAATTGTTTTATAAGGTATTTCTTCCCGCCTTCTTGGTGTAGTGGTCTGCACGCTGGGCGCGTATTCCAGCGGTCCGTGGTTCGATTTCCGGCGAGGGCGTTGCTTATTTTTCAAGTCTCCTGCTTTCAAAAATACCTAATGTCTCTACAGTTTAATTGCGGCGAAGCCTAATTTTTTTTATCATAGAAGCTATATATGTTTCCATTTGAAACTTAGCAGAATAGTGAATTATTTCTTTCTGCCCCTTCAGTGTCTTTATACCGAATGGGACCAAAAGGAAACTTTTAGTTTTGTACACCAAAAAATCTGCTTTCTTGCTCGGTAGCCGAATTGCTTGTTTTTGCGTAGAAACTGTAATTTTAATTGTAAATTTTTTTTTAAAATTGTTCTAAATGTATTTGATGTTTTATGCTTTTCTATAGCTTTTAATTTTTAATGAAAATATTTTGAGTTTTTATGTATTTTTGCTTTGTTGCGAAGTGAGAACTGAATTAATTGGAATGAGAAATATATCTCTAGTGAAATTCGGCGAATAAATTTAAATGAAATGCAGGAAAACATGCATATAATTTAATATTCCGTACAAGGAAGCCATCTGGTGTACGCATCAGCTTTTTTTTCCTTTATAGACACATACATGTTTCGAGAGCATTTAGGCTAACGCCACATTGGGCTAAAAATATTTAAAAACATCATATCTTTAGAATTTCGTACAAATGGTTTCGCGCGCTGGGGATAAAAGTACTTTATTCCGTACAGTGTGCTGCCGCTGCTTGCGTTGAAATCGCTGAGTTTCTTAATCAAAAATTCGTTATATTATATATAAATAGTTATCCGAAATAAATATGCACAGTCCTAAAAATGTTACGTCATAATATTTTGGTGCTGCTGTTCGAAATAAGTATATTCAATTTTGACTTAAATAATCGAAGTCGAAAAAGCTAGAAATTTTAGAAATTAAAAACAGAATTTTACATCTCACTTTAAAGGATTAGTGGATATTTTAGTGACACAAATGTAACCTTAAGGACAAATAGAGTTTTCTGAGTTTTATCGCAAGCTATAACGAAAATAATTAACATCTAAACTTCTTGTTGATCACAAAAAAATAAAAAAATAACAAATCTGAAATGTTTCAGATTTTAAATTACGTCCAAAGGGGCGTTTTTTAACATTTTGTGTGTTACCTTTCTTTATTAAATATCATGTTCCTCGCACTTAAACCATAAGATCCAGTGCAACAGCAATATCGCAAAATAGTTTTAAAACGAGCATATCTTTAGAATTTCCGATACAGAGACTCACGCGCTGGAGATAAAAATGTTTTTCTGCACAACGTTGCCATTGCTCGCTTTGAAATCCTTGAGTTTGTTACTCAAAAATTCGTCAAAGTTTTAAAAAATAGGAAATCGATCATAAAAAACAAATTCCAAATTTCAAATTTGGTCTTCCACATGCTCATATTCGTTGGAGGATTACGTTATTCAAAATTCGATGACTCTATGTACCATTGTTTTATCGCAATACGAGAAATATACATACATTTATGCAGATTTTTCATTATTTAATTTCTTCAAATATAATGCAGGACTCTAACATTTTGTGGCAACAGTTTAAAAAGTGAACCGACATTTATGAGTCCGACGCAAAATGCCAAAACGAAACTAATAGTCCTTCGGGATTCAAATCGCTTTGGACTAATAAAATAATTTATTATATATATATATATTATATAAGGAAAAAAAAAAAATCTGAAAGCTTTTTTCATTCAAAGAGTCAAAGAGGCTTTTTTTAACGTTTTGTGTGTCACCTTTATTTATTAAATATCATGTTCTAAGCACTTAAACCATAAAATTAAATTCAACAGCAATATCGCAAAATAATTTTAAAATAAGTATATGTTTAGAATTTCCGATACACAATCTCGTGCGCTGGAGATAAGAATGTTCCCCCCCCCCTCCGTACAGTGTTGCCATTGCTCGCTTTGAAACCGTTGAATTTATTAATAAGAAATTCGTTAAAGTGTTACAAAATATGAAATCGATAATAAAACAAATTCCAAATTAGAGCTTTCATGTGCCCATATTCGGTGGAGGATTACGTTATCCTCCACCTCTAGGTACCGTTGTTTTATCACAATGCGAGAAATAATACATTTATGCAGATTCTTCATTATTTATTTTCTTTAAGACAGGATAATAATATATGGTGGCAACGATTAGAAAAGTAAAACGGACATTTACAGTTTTCGGCGCAAAATACCAAAACGATCTTCTGGGCTAACGTCTTTTGAACTAATTAAAAATATTAACACCAAAAGAATATGGTTATCATTGAGCATGTTATCCGTAGGTATTATTTTCTTAATAATCAAGAAATATAAATTAGAATATTATAGTCTAGTCTACTTTCATTGATGCTTATTCTATTGTTATAGCAAGACAAACAGGTTTCTTGTATTGCTGCCTACAAATCATAAGGCTTTTGTCGTAATTACAGCTTTCGATGTAATTATAACGTAGGACATAATTACAGACCTAA